TATATATATATATATATACCGGTAATCATTATGATTATGAAACTTAATTGATGTAATGTAGCCTCAGATAAGTTTATCAGTAGAATCTACTAAAATAAAAACACTGCACATTTCATCTGTATTATAATTAGCCATCACATGGTGAATAAAGCACAGTAGCCTATCTGTTGGCAGGCTGCTCTTTCTCAATGCTTTTAGCCACATTTCAGAGTAACCATCCTGCTCAGAGTTCATGGACAATGGCCTAACCACATTTTGATTCCCAGCTAGTGTGCCTTGTTTGTATCGTAGAATTCTCATGAGAGATTTAACAATCACCCTTGAGGGTTACCACAGGATTCGTACTTGGTTGTAGTGCTTAGGGGTAGACAGATGATTGGCCAGGCCAATTATCTGCGATGATATTCGGCATTCTGACAAGTATCTGCCTCTTTTTAAAAATCGGACGGCCGATAAGAGCTCAATTTAAAACTGTTAACATCAGGGGTACTATTTATTTAAATTTTCAGCTAACTTTATAAGAGTGCTGTTGACACTGGGAACTCTACGTACCTTTTGTTTTTTTTTGAAATTCATACAAAGATAAGTTAAAATGTAACATTTCACTCATTTTGGAAAACTATCAAGAGCTATTTAAGTTTTTATTTAACTTTTTAAGACATGCTGATGATCCTGGGAGGTCCCTGAACTTTTTGTTAGCATTTTAAAACAAAGATGCCCATTGTAAGGCAATATGCTTAAAGACATTTCAACAAAGTTAAGAGCTGGAGTTTGTATTTTCTTTTTTTTTTCCACCCCCACTTTTGCTGAAAATTAATTAACATTGGCTCGTAATATCGATTATCGGCTCCCTTCACTCCTAATATGAGTGAAGGGTATGAGCTATGGTGGTGTTTCATGTGAAGGAAATTTCTCTGCTTTGAGCACAAGCAAGAGACATGACAGTATTTCACAAAATTCTTAAGAGTCAAGTCAAGTCAACTTTATTGTAAAATATGCTTTATGTGCAACATACAGCACAGATGAAATTTCTTTCCTCTCAACCACAGTGCAAACACAGGAGAGAGAGCAGTTGCTGCGGGTACCCTCGCCACCATCAACAGAACAGTTAACATAAAATGACAAAATAATACAACACAACGCATAAGACACGGACAGTCATGCAATCTTAACCACTTTTCTGAGTACGCTTTGTTGTTTGAAGCAGTTATAGAAATGTCAGAATCAGAAATGTTTATTGTGAGAATTGTCACAAAGTGTGTTCCATTTCAGCTATTTTAACACCGTCACAAAAGGAAAACAGTCGTCGCAACATCAACAGTAGCATGACGCATTCATGACTCTACATCTCCTTTTGGATATTACATGACTCGCTATCAACAGTCATTGTCCATTGCTGTCGTTCTAACTCTCAATCTCCAATCCTACAGTCCGTCCTCAGGCCTCAATTTCCATCGACATGATGTCCAACAGCACAATTCTGGAGCTTGCAGACCAGCCTGTGGGTTGGCAACCTGGTGACCAGGTGGTGGTGGCCAGCACCGACTACTCCATGCATCAGACTGAAGGGTTTGACCTCATTCCTTGTCCTACCTGTACACCTAACCAGGTCAAGGTGCAAGGTGAGGAATGTGACTCATAGCACAATCTCACAATTTAAAAGGTGTGCAAACTGGAAAAAATGAAGGTTCTTTCTTCATGAAGATTCTTTATTGCATTGCATGACTTGTTTGATCTGATCAAGCTTCAAGCTTTGTGTGTAAATACTAGAAAAGGAAGTAGCCTGTCCCATCTGATTTGGGATTAGAGGTTGGGGTACACCCTGGACTTTTCACCAACCAATTGCAATATGTCGATAATTTATATATCGACATAATATATATATATATATATATATATATATATACAAGCGGCTGGATAGCTCAGTTGGTAAGGCATCGGTTTGGCGTACGGGAGACGGTGATTCGAATCCCGCTTGGGGCAAAAATGAGCACATAACACCATCCAGTGTGGGTCCTTGGGCAAGATCCTTCACGCTATGCCTACCTCATCCAATGATG